TCTTTCACCTCAGTCTCCCGAGTAGCTGGGATTACAGGTGCCCGATACCACACCTGGCTAATTTTTGTACTTTTTTTTTTTTTGAGACGGAGTTTCGCTCTTGTTACCCAGGCTGGAGTGCAATGGCCGACCTCGGCTCACCGCAACCTCCGCCTCCTGGGTTCAGGCAATTCTCCTGCCTCAGCCTCCTGAGTAGCTGGGATTACAGGCACGCGCCACCATGCCCAGCTAATTTTTGTATTTTTAGTAGAGACGGGGTTTCACCATGTTGACCAGGATGGTCTCGAGCTCTTGACCTCGTGATCCACCCACCTCGGCCTCCCAAAGTGCTGGGATTACAGGCTTGAGCCACCGCATCCGGCCAATTTTTGTACTTTTAGTAGAGATGGGGGTTTCAGCAGGTTGGCCCGGCTGGTCTTGAACTCCTGACCTCAGGTGATCCGCCTGCCTTGGCCTCCCAAAGTGCTGGGATTACAGAGGTGAGCCGCCTCGCCCAGCCTAATTTGCATACGTTTATTTAAAATGTCATTAAAGAGCCAGGCATGGTGGTGCTCCCTTGTGGTCCCAGCTGCTCAGGAGACCCAGGGGGTTGGATCCCTTGAGCGCAGAAGTTTAGGCTGCAGTGAGCCATGATCGCACCACGGAACACCAGCCTGGGCAACAGAGCAAGACTGTGTCTCCAGGTGCGGTGGCTCCGCCTGTAATCCCAGCGCTTTGGGAGGCTGAGGCAGTTGGATCACCTGAGGTCAGGAGTTCGAGACCAGCCTGGCCAACATGGTGAAACCCCATCTCTACTAAAAATACAAATATTAGGCTGGACGCGGCGGCTCACGCCTGTAATCCCAGCACTTTGGGAGGCCGAGGCGGGCGGATCGTGAGGTCAAGAGTTCAAGAGCAGCCTGGCCAGCACGGTGAAACCCCATCTCTACTAAAAATAAAATTAACCGGGCATGGTAATCCCAGCTACCCTGGAGGTTGAGGTAGGGTAATTGCTGGAACCTGGGAGATGGAGGTCGCAGTGAGCCAAGACCACGCCACTACACCCGCCTCTGAGCAACAGAGCGAGACTTCGTCCCAAAAACAAACCCCAAAAAAACACAAAAATTAGGCAGGCATGGTGGTGTGGGCCTCGAATTCCAGCCGCTCGGGAGGCTGACACAGGAGAATTGCTTGAACCCAGGAGGCGGAGGCTGCGGTGAGCTGATTGCACCCCTGCCCTCCAGCCTGGGTGACAGAGCCAGACTGCCTCAAAAAAAATACAGGCCAGGCGCGGCGGTTCACACCTGTACTCCCAGTGCCCTGGGGGGCCGAGGCAGGCGGATCGCAAGGTCGGGGGTCAGAATCCAGCCTGGCCGATACGGTGAAACCCCGTGTCTACTAAAAATACGGAACGTAGCCGGGCGTGGTGGCGCACACCTGTAATCCCGGCTACTCGGGAGGCTGAGACGGGAGAATCGCTTGAACCCGGAGGCAGAGGTTGCCGTGAGCCGGGATCACGCCGCTGCACTCCGGCTGGGCGACAGAACGAGACTCCATCTCAGAAAATGATAAACAATAAAAATAAAGGAGAGAAGCAGGAGTAATAACTGAGGGTGGGCCCAGACGCCCCTTGCTTCTCAGCTGAGATGTGCTGACCGATAGGAGGGAGTTACAGGGGCCATCGGGTGTGAGGCTGGCGCCCCAGTGACCCTTTGTCCCCGCCTGGGGAGCGCCGCGCCCCAGCCTCCCGCCACGTATGCGACTTGGGATGTGTTTGCACACACAGCAGGTGGGCATTGATGGGGTCAGAGCTGCAGAGGGAGAGCCCGCCAGCGCCCCTCCCGGAGCCTGGCACAGCTGCCCAGGCTGAGTCGGCTCATTGTCTGGCTCTCACCCGCACATCTGGTCCCATTTCCTGAACGGGGCCCCACGGCCCCCCTTCCCCGGGCGGGTCAACTGAGGACTCAGTGGGGCAGGACCTCCTGGGCTGGCCTGGTGCCTCTGCCCACCCTGCCCCCGGTCTGGCTCAGGTGCCCCCTGGAACTTTGACGTCCTCTTCACCTCACAGATGTTCCGATCTCAGAGGGTGCAAAAGGCAGGGTCCAGACTTGCCCTTGGGGTCTCAGTTTCCCCAGGAGTGAAGTGGGCAGGGAGCATCAGCCCTGGCCCTACCACCGACCCACCATGACCAGTGTGCAAACCATGTCATCCGCCTGGGTCTCCGGTTCTGTTGGTTACCTCTGAGCATGGGGAGCTCACCACCTCTTTTGCCTGGGAGAGGACGGGCGGTGGGCCCTCGGGGATGGGGGGTCCCGGGGCGTGAGCAGCCGCCCACTGCCGCCCCTCCTGGTGCCCTTGCAGAACCACTCGTGGAGCGAGCTGTACTCATTTGCGCTCTTCAAGGCCATGAGCCACATGCTGTGCATCGGGTACGGCCGGCAGGCGCCCGAGAGCATGACGGACATCTGGCTGACCATGCTCAGCATGATCGTGGGCGCCACCTGCTACGCCATGTTCATCGGCCACGCCACCGCGCTCATCCAGTCGCTGGACTCTTCACGGCGCCAGTACCAGGAGAAGGTCTGAGAAAGGCGGGCACTGGCCTGGGGTCTGAGGGGGGAGGCAGGCCCAGCCCTGCGGTCTGATGTGGGAGGCAGGTCCCGCCCTGGGGTCTGATGGGGGAGGCAGGTCCTGCCGTGGGGTCTGATGGGGGAGGCAGGTCCCACTTTGGGGTCTGAGGGGAGAGGGAGGTCCTGCCGTGGGGTCTGAGGGGGGAGACACGTCCTGCCCTAGGGTCTGAGCGGGGAGGTAGGTTCCGCCCTGGGGTCTGATGTGGGAGGCAGGTCCCGCCCTGGGGTCTGATGGAGGAGGCAGGTCTAGCCCTGGGGTCTGATGGAGGAGGCAGGTCCCACCCTGGGGTCCGAGAGGGGAGGCAGAGCCAGCCCTCATTCAGCTGCAAGTGGCATGCTCAGGGCGGAGGCAACATGGTAGGGAGGGGGGGCCCTAGGGGGTCTGTGGCTGTGGTTAGGAACCGAAACCCCTCTGCTGAGCCTGTGAAGGGGGGAGGTCTGGAGCCTGGAGGTGGGTGTGGGGAGGAGCTGGGGAAGGGACGCAGGCTGGGCAGGAAGAGGCTGAGTTGGGGTCAGGGCAGGGCCAGTCCTCGGACGTCAGGAAGCTCCTGGGCAGAAGAGGTGCTGGGGACCTGGAGCCAGAGCAGCAGAGACGGGCGTTGCGGGAGGGGGGCCCCCCGGGGGTTTCTAGGCTGGCTCAGTATGGGGCTGGGGTGGGGAAGGGGCCCGGCGGGGTCTGAGAGGTCTGGGGTCACTTGAGGACACGCCAGTGGCCGGGATTTGGGGCCAGGCTTCAGGGAGAGCAGGGCTATCCCGCTGCGGCCTCTGGCCTGCAGTGACCACCGGGCTAATCCCGGCTCCACTGTGGCGGGTGGTGGGAGATGGGGATCGGGCCCATGGGCCGCGGGCCTCTGAAGTTGGGCCTTGTGTTCCTCTCTGTGCCTCAGTTTCCCTCTGTGAGGCGGCCCTGTCCAGCACACGGCCTGGCTGGCTGGTCCTGGCTGGGAGCCACGTGCCCCCCTTGGCGGTGGCTGGCAGGGTCGGCCGGGTCAGCTGGGCCCCGTGCCAGCCGCCCGGCTGTCCGGAAGCCACAGGCCTCACACCCAAACATAAGCTGGTGCCGCCACCCGCCCGCCGTCACGGGGTCCGCTGAGCTCAGGGCAGCTGCGGGACTGGGTCGGAAGTGAGGCTGGAGCCCCCGGGTGGCACCGTCCTGGGGACGGCAGGGCCTGGCACCCCCACCCGGCCTGCTCGGGAGGGGCTGACTCGAGGGTTTCTAGAAAGATCATCAGGGAAGAGGGTCAGAGCGCCTGCAGGGTTGGGGGCCCTGAGAAAGGGGTTCTGTGTGTCAGGGTGCCTGGTCCCTCCTCTCAGTCAGGCGCCCACCCATTCCTCAGGGGTGGGGTTGCCAGGTAACATTCAGGAGACCGGGCTGGGCACGGTGGCTCCCGCCTGTAATCTCAGCACTTAGGGAGGCCAAGATGAGCAGATCACTTGAGATCAGGAGTTCAAGACCAGCCTCGCCAACATCTCTACAAGAAATCAAAACATTGGCCGGGCATGGTGGCACACACCTGTAATCCCTGCTGCTCAGGAGGCTGAGGTGGCGGGAGCACTTAAGTCTGGAGGCTAAAAAGAATTTTAAAAAAATTCACGTAGTTACATACAAATTTCAGAGAAATAGCAAATAAAAAATTCAGGACACCTAGTTACGAATTTCAGAGAATCATCAAATTCAGGACACCTAGTTACATACGAATTTCGGAGAAACATCAAATAAAAAATTCAGGACACCTAGTTACGAATTTCAGAGACACATCAAATAAATTTTCTAGTATATTTCAAATATTATAAGGGATATACTTACACTAAACATTGTTCTTATTTTTCTGCAATCCAACTTAATTTTTATTTACTTATATATTTATTTTTTGAGATGGACTCCCCCTTTGTTGCCCAGGCTGGAGTGCAGTGGCACAATCTCAACTCACTGCAGCCTCTGCCTCCCAGGTTCAAGGGATTACAGGTGTCCATCACCATCCCAGATAATCTTTTATATATATAAATATATATTTTTTTTTGATGGTCACTCAGGCTGAAGTGCAGTGGCATGATCCCTGCTCACTGCAACCTCCACCTCCTGGGTTCAAGCGATTCTCCCGCCTCAGCCTCCTGAGTAGCTGGGATTACAGGCGTCTATGACACCCAGCTAAGTTTTTTATCTTTATTAGAGACAGGGTTTCGCCATGTTGGCCAGGCTGGTCTTGAACTCCTGACCTCGTGATCCACCCGCCTTGGCCTCCCAAAGTGCTGGGATTACAGGTGTGCCACCGCGCCCGGCCTGCAATTCAACTTTAAATGGAGATCCTGAACTTTATCTCCAGTGCTGCTCCTGAGAATTAAATTTAATACTATTTTAGAAGTATTATTCAGGATATCAATATCAAGTATTCAGAACGTTAATTAAGAATTGAATCAGGCCGGGCGCAGTGGCTCACGCCTGTAATCCCAGCACTTTGGGAGGCCGAGGCGGGCGGATCACCTGAGGTCAGGAGTTGGAGACCAGCCTGGCCAACGTGGTGAAACCGTGTTTCTACTAAAAGTAGAAAAATCAGCTGGGTGTAGTGGTGGGCACCTGTAATTCCAGCCACTCTGGAGGCTGAGGCAGGAGAATCACTTGAACTCAGGAGGCAGAGTTCGCAGTGAGCCGAGATGGCCCCATTGCACCCCAGTCTGGGCAACAAAGTGAGGGTTCTGTCTCAAAAAAAAAAAAAAATCTGATTGGAGGCTGGGCACGGTGGCTCACACCTGTAATCCCAGCTCTCTGGAGGCTGAGGCGGGCGGATCACCTGAGGTCAGGATTTTGAGACCAACCTGGCCAAGATGGTGAAAACCCCATCTCTACTAAAAGTACAAAAATTAGCAGGCGTGGTGGCACATGCCTGTAATCCCAGCTACTTGGGAGGCTGAGACAGGAGAATTGCTTGAACCCGGGAGGCGGAGGTTGCAGTGAGCCGAGACCGCGCCACTGCACTCCAGACTTCGAGGTGATAAGAGCAGGACTCCTTCCCAAAAAAAAAAAAAAAAAAAGATTTTAGTGGGGGGGGCACGGTGGCCCACACCTGTAATCTCAGCACATTCGGAGGCCAAGGCGGGAGGGTCCCTTGAGCCCAGGAGTCCAAGACCAGCCTAGGCAATACGGAAGGACCTCATCTCTACCAAAAATCAGCCAGGCGTGGTGGTGCACCTGTGTTCCCTGTTAGGAGGCTCAGGTGGGAGGATCCCTTGAGCCGGGAGGTGGAGGCTTCGGTGAGCTGTGATTGTGCCACTGCACTCCAGCCTGGGCAACAGAGCAAGACCCTGTCTCTGAGAAGAAAAACTGGGTTTATCATTGAAGTGAATTCTACCGTGGTTTAAATGGAAGCCTCTATTTGCTGCTGTTGAATCTGGAAGCCCCTGGGTGAGGGGGAGGCCTGTCTCCCTGCTGCAGTCAGGGGCTGTGTCTGACCAGCGCTGTCCCTCACACTCCCCGCAGTACAAGCAGGTACGAAGGCCTGTCTCCTGCTTCCAGCCAGGGGCAGTGTCTGACCCACGGCAGGTGCCCCGTTTCCGGTCTGTGGGCTGGGCGGTGTCTGACCCACGGTGGGTGCCCACGTCTCCCGTCTGTGGCCTGGGTGGTGTCTGACCCACAGCAGATGCCCGTGTCTCCCGTCTGTGGGCTGGGTGGTATCTGACCCATGGCAGATGCCCGTGTCTCCCGTCTGTGGCTGGGGCAGTGTCTGACCCACGGCAGGTACCCGTGTCGCCCGTCTGTGGCCGGGGCGGTGTCTGACCCACGGCGGGTGCCCGTGTCTCCCACCTGTGGCCGGGGCGGTATCTGACCCACGGCAGATGCCCGTGTCTCCCGTCTGTGGCCAGGGCGGTGTCTGACCCATGGTGGGTGCCTGTGTCTCCCGTCTGTGGCCTGGGTGGTATCTGACCCACTGCAGATGCCCGTGTCTCCCGTCTGTGGCCGGGGCGGTGTCTGACCCATGGCGGGTGCCCGTGTCTCCCGTCTGTGGCCTGGGTGGTATCTGACCCACGGCAGATGCCCGTGTCTCCCGTCTGTGGCCGGGGCGGTGTCTGACCCACGGCAGGTGCCCGTGTCTCCCGTCTGTGGCTGGGGCCGTGTCTGACCCATGGTGGGTGCCCGTGTCTCCCATCTGTGGCCAGGGCGGTGTCTGACCCAGCCTTGCCCCTCACAGTACAAGCAGGTGGAGCAGTACATGTCCTTCCACAAGCTGCCGGCCGACTTCCGCCAGAAGATCCACGATTACTACGAGCACCGCTACCAGGGCAAGATGTTCGATGAGGACAGCATCCTGGGCGAGCTCAACGGGCCCCTGCGGGAGGTGAGGCGGGCACGGGCGGGAGGCAGCCTCGGGCACCCAGGAGCGGGTCCCGGAGGGAGGCAGGAGGGGCTCGAGCCGGGCCTTCGCTCGCACCCACCCTCCCCGCCCCAGGCGCCCCTCCGTGAGCGTCTGAACCCCCAGACCCCTGCCACCCTTTTTGCAGACCTGCCGGCTGTGTGCCAGACAGGGCGGGGCATGGGCACAGCAGGGTGCGGAGGGAGGAGCCCCAGGCCCTGGGGCACTCAGGCTGCTGAGGAGCCGGTGTAATTCCCAGCTGTGCCCCTGTAGCCTGGGTGACCCTGGGCAGGTTCCCCGGGCTGTGGCTCAGAGCAGCAGAGGCTCAGCCTCCCTCCTCCTGGAGGCCACAGGCCCCAAATCAAGGTGTGGGCCAGGCCGCGCTCCCTGCACCCCTGGGAGGGTCCTTCCCGCCTCTCCCGTGTGCGGCCCCAGGTGCCCTCGGCTTGCAGATGCCGCTTCCTGATCTCTGCCTCCACCTGCTCGCAGGCCCTCCGCCCCCCGGTGTGTCTCTGTCTCTCCCTGTAAATTCGTCAGTCGCTGGATCAGGGCCCACCCGGTTCCTCCCGGCCTCTCCTTAACTGGGTCTCACATCCGTAAAAACCCTGTTTGCAGACGAGGCCCCATTCACAGGACCCAGGGGTCGGCCCGTCAGCCTGTCTTTCTGGGAGATGTTCCACCGGTGACAGGCATTGAGCAGTTACTGAGGGCCAGCTGCGTCTCCTGCCGTGTGCTTGGAGGTCCTGCCTTCAGGGAGGGGGGCCTAGGGAAGGGGGTGCTGGGTGGCCCTCAGGGAGCGGGGGCCTAGGTAAGGGGGTGCTGGGGGGCCCT